GTCGACGATTACCCGAATGGTATCCAGTCCACCCGTGGTCTTAGGTAGCTTGGTTATGAAGTCCATGGTTATTCGTTCCCACTTACACTTAGGTATATCAGGCTGTTGTAGTAGTCCTGAGGGTTTGTGATGTTCTACCTTGACCTTCGCGCCAGTCAAACACTTGCCCACGTAAGTAGCAATCTCTGCTTTCATGTTCGGCCACCAGTATATGTTCTTGAGATCCAGATACATTTTATTTGAACCTGGGTGGATGGAGTATCTAGTCTTGTGTCCTTCGTTCATGATGATGTCTCAGAGACCACCGAACTTCGGTGTCTAGATTCGGTTCATGAGGTAACGAGCTCCGTCGTCTTTGACTTCTAGATTTTTATCTATTCCTATTAATGCCTCACCCTTAGCATTTTTGGTTTCAAGGCCTCTAGCTGAGCCTCCTTGATTTGTGTAGACAGATGTGAATGGATTGTCATAATTAATGACTTTACTCGTCGACGGCCCGAATATTCCTTCCTGCTTAGGGCATCGGCCACCACATTGGCCTTGCCCGGATGATAGCGAATCTCGCACTCGTAGTCATTTAGCAGTTTAACCCATCTTCTCTGCTGCATGTTGAGCTCTTTTTGGTTGAGAATGTGCTGAAGGCTCTTGTGATCGGTAAAGACAGTACACTTTGTTGCGTAAAGGTAGTGCCTCCAGATCTTTAGGGTGAATACTACTTCTCCCAATTCGAGGTTGTGAGTGGTGTAGTTGGCTTCGTGCGTTTTCAATTGCCTCGATGTGTAGGCGATGACCTTTCATCGCTGCATTAACACACACCCAAGCCCTTGGTTTGATGCGTCACAGAATACTACAAAATCTCCAGTCCCATCTGGGAGAGACAAGATCGGGGCGCTGCACAGGGCTCATTTCAACGTTTGGAATGCAGTTTCTTGCTTATCATCCCACTTAAACATCACACCTTTTTGAGTCAAGGTGGTGAGCGGTTTAGCGATCTTGGAGAAGTTTTGAATGAATCTTCGGTAGTATCCAGCAAGCCCTAAGAATTGTCTGATTTCCGTTGGTGTTGTCGGTGTAGCCCATTCTTCGATCGCTTTGATTTTTTAGGTATCCACATGTATCCCTTTCTTTCTAACACATGGCCAAGAAATCCCACTTCTCGGAGCCAAAATTCGTACTTTGAAAGTTTAGCATAAAGCTTCTCAGTTCTTAGAGTCTCCAATACCAGTCGTAGATGTTGGTTGTATTCTTCTTTGCTTCGCGAATAAACCAAGATATCATTTATGAATATGATTAAGAATTTGTCGAAAAAGGGTCGACAAACTTGGTTCATCAGATCCATGAACATCGCAGGTGCATTTGTTAGTCCGAAGGGCATCACCATAAATTTGTAATGGCCGTAGCGTGTTCTGAAAGCTGTCTTGGGAATATCATCCTCTTGAACTCGCAGTTGATGATAACCCGACCTCAAGTCGATTTTCGAAAAGTAACTCACTCCTTGTAGTTGGTCGAAGAGGTCATTGATTTGGGGTAGGGGATATCAAATCTTGACAGTAAGTTTGTTTAACTCCCGATAGTCGATGCACATGTGAAAGGATCCATCCTTCTTCTTCACGAATAGGAGTGGTGCTCCCCAAGGTGAAAAGCTTGATCTGATAAATCCTTTGCTCAGTAGCTCGTTTAGTTGACTGGACAGTTCTTGCATTTCCGCCAGCGCGAGACGGTATGGATTCTTGGCTACGGGGTAGCTCCTGGGACCAAATCGATTCATAATTCGATTTGTCGTGCAAGTGGTACGCCTGGAAGGTCTTCTAGGAACATGTCGAGAAAGTTACAGACCTCCGGGATGTCTTTGAGGTCCTTTGTTTGTTGTTTCTTTTCTACCACGTGGGCAAAATAGGGAATATTGCCCGATTCAATGACCTAGCACTCCTTTGTCCGGAAATGGTCACTCCAGAGGGGAAGAAAGTGGAACGATACCTCTGGGGATTATCCTCCCAAGTTTAGGATAGTGTGCTGGCATCAAGACCCACTACTTTTGAAAGTGCCAAGTGGTAGAAAAGAAACAAGAAACAAAGGAGTGTTAGGTCATTGAATCGGGTAAGTCGGGTGATATTTGTGCTACATTATTAGTGTTATGCCCCAACTTCACGGTAATTATAAACAATTCATAAATAAGGTCTATATGATTAGAATTATGAATTTAGAAATAGTGACTCGTGTTCTACTTTGTGCTTGATACACTCCTAAAATTGACTCAATGTACACCAGTCACATGTAATTAAGTTTTGATAAACCATTAAACCTAATGAATCTACCCTAAGTCCATAACCAAACAAGGAACATGTCCTAAGGCAGACTCACCATTTCTAAGTCGATCATCCCTTAATTACACATAACCTCGATGTATAACTTAAGAAGTTTAGAGTTCTCATTTACAATTGTTTGTATTATCAAGTTATGAGTTCTCATGCTAATTAACCAAAAAAATAACATGCAAGTCAATTTCATTGATGTAAGTTTAGTACATATTGCTTAAGAAAATTTGACCTCATAGGAGATCTACATTACATTAATGTAGAAGAAAATTTTGACAGCATAACGACCCTTCAAATAGCGTAATCACTTAGACATAGGGTCTAACCTACTTGTAAGAAAAATAGCACCAACGCATACTCGAAATCCTAGTTTTATAACAAAATGTGAGTAGTGTAAACACTACTCGAGGCGGGTGGCATCTGGTCCACTGTGGCCTTGAGATGAGGTCGAGGCTCCCTGAAGCTCCGCAATCTGGCATTCTGCCTCGATCACTCTCTCCTAGAGAGTTGCGTGCCTCACCTGGTACTCCTTTACCTCCGCTCGAGCGGTGGTAAGGTCCTCAATAAGTTGGTCCACGGGATAGAAGTCCCTTTCCAACTCCCTGGTGCGTGCATCGATAGCTTTCATAACAACATTGAGATTTCAAACTTGATCTGCCATTTCCCAATTTTGGTTTCCCAAATTCTTAATATGCTAGACCATGATGGGGAGGGCTCTGTCAGCCGGTCCCCTGTGGATGAGGTCGTAGTAACCCCGTTGATCGCCATATGGTGATCGTTAGCGTTGTTGTCAGCTCCACCTCTGAATCATTGTTGCCTAACGGGGCTCATGCCCGTTGTAGCCGAAATGGTTTGCAGGCACCCTGGCGATGTAAGGAGGGTTGAGACTTCCTCCTCTGGTTCCTCTTCTTCTTCTACCTCTTCGGATTCTTCTTCTTCGTCCTCCATTTCATCTTCCTCCTCGGGTTCTTCTTCTTCGTCAACCTCTTCAGGGTCTTCTTCAGGATCCTCCTCGATCATTTCCTCGGGTTCTGCCTCGAGCCATCCAGTGTTCCCCTCATTAGGGAAGTAAGGGTCTCCAGGTAGATGGAATCCTGACACGTCGTCTATACGAGAATAGAGGTGTAAGAGATATGAAATGAACCTAAAATGTCGAGTTATGAGGTTACAAAATACTCCCATAGTATTTTTAAATGTTATGCTTGGTTTTTAGCGCACTCTTTATAGGGTGATATTAGGTTGTTATAGATTTGTTGCCCACTACGACTATCCCCCGATATATGCAAGTCACCTCTCGGACATATATAGTTGATTAGCCTATATCCATCCCAGACTTGACCACACATCCAAAGGCATACTCGTAATGCAAACTCCTGCTCTTTTATTTTATGTTCTTCCAATTTATGTCACTACGCGAGCATGTATGCATCTACTTATACTTTTACCAAGAAACTGTTTATTTCCTAAAAGTATAGACATTTGTAAGTGTTTAATCAGAGACTCTTAGTCCCAAACGCATTTATAGTTTGTATATCTTATGTGGTTTGATATACTTAGTTCACTATAAACATTGCTCCGATACCAATCTGTTACACCCCCAAACCAAGGATGGCGGAAACATCCTGGGGTGGAGGACTTCATGTATAGTATCATAACAACAACTGCAATAGTGACCAAAGTAAAAACAACCAACATAAATATAATTGAAAAAGTTACACCATAGTATGAGTTTACATGTTTCCAAATCAATTACATTATGTTGACAAAAATGAAATGTTTGACGCCTGAACGTCCCATCCTCAAAAGCACTTTGTTACCTGTTTATTGATTTCCTGAGAATACAAGTAGTTTTGAAAGAGTGTCAACAATTAAGTTGGTGAGTTCATAAGCTTTTGAATGCAGTAGTAAAAGTCTTTTTCCTTGTAAATGTGGTG